TTTCCGTTTTTTACATTTGTTTTAAGAGAATTCGTAATCGATTAATGAAGGATTTTTTATGATGGCTGATTTAAAATCCTTTTCAGATAATTACAGCATTTGATTATTTTAGTATTGACATTAGTTGATTGTCTTTTCTAATTCAAGTTGTGATTTTTCTTGGTTCTTGGTATGACAGGTGATTTTCAGTTGAATCTTAGATATTTTATTTATTATGTTAGGAGGCACAGGGGCCTATTTCAGTCTTTTATTTTCAGAGGTGTTCTTTCTTGATTTAGCATGCAGGTCTTGGCCTATTTTTGTGGGCTGTGATTCCAATGACAGTTTAATTTTCAGAATCTTTATACTGTTATTTTGGTTCACTTTGCTTATCTGGTACCACTAGGGCTTCCACTGGTTCCTGCTGGTGCCGCTTGAGGGAGTAGTATATATTTTTCTTAGGCTGGACTATTAGATCTCTTGGTAGGGAATGAATGACATAGGATTTTCTTACCATGTCCCTTAGCTGCCCTGATGTCTCGGGGCAGGAGAGGAGAGACTTGGACCCATAGAGAATAAGGAGCTTCCTGGACTGGTTCTTTTGCTAAAGCTGGGTCACTCTTCCCATTTCTGAATACCTGCTGTGGTTTCTCTCGGTGGGGAAGGAGATACTTGGACCTCTGAGGACAGAGAAGCTTCCTGACCTGAGTGCTTGCTATTACTGAGTCTCTCTTGTTGGTTCTTCCTGTCTGATTTGATTTCTTTTGAGAGAAAAGGGGATATTTAGGACTAGCATGAAAGGAGAGCGCTTCTGGCTATTTATTTTTGGTGAGGCTGACAATCAATCTCCCTTGCTTGATGGTGGGTATCTGGCTTGCCTAATGTTGTCAGGACTCCTGTTAGATACTGGGGGAAGCTAGCCAACATAGGCTGCCTTTTGGTATTAAACTGGAGGTTGGGAAAAGTCGAGTCTGGGTGACCTGCTGGGAGGGAACACAAGACACTTCTGTGCTGTTCTTCCAGTCTTAGGGCCAAGAGTTTGCCTTCTTTTCATCTTTCAGAGTTCTTCCTTGGTTGTCTCTTGCACTATTTCCAGTGTTTATAGTTGTGTTTTGTGGAGTGGAGCTGGGGAAAATGGTCTATGGCATCTTGTCTGGAGCAGAAGCTGGGTTTTATTTTATTTATTTTTGTCATGTGAGCATGGAGGTAAAGGGGCGGGGCAATACTGGCTGGGGCTGACTCTGGCCTTGTTGGGGGCCCTGAGATTTACTCTCTCATGAAATTCCATTAACCCATTTCCCGTTTGCCCTGAGAATACTCGTACTTGTGGCTGCAGCACTTATCCCGAGATAACTCGCAGATTACAGCCCTAACCTTACCCCCAAAGTTTGCCACGAAATCTAGCTTTTCTTATTGTTTTTGCATCACTTTAGTATATTGATAGTCTATGGAAACAAATGATATCAAACTAGTTATAGCATTCTGTTTTTAGTAGTGATAATCCTATTTGCAAAAAATAGTAATTCTCAATTGCTGAAAATGTGAAATCCTAGAAAACATAGCATTCCTACATATAATGTTAATTGACATCATTCTCGAACAGTTGTTGGCTGAAGATTCATTTGATGAATCCAATTTATGTATTCATTTCTGCTACATTAGGATTAGAGACAAGTTCTGTTTAGAAGTAACTCTAAGAACAGTTTTTATATTTTATTGTCACACTGAAAAGCAGTCAGATTTGATTCAGCCTTTAAAAAGCATGTTTCTGTAAAATTAAATTAATGCTGGCGGGGAGCTGCACTTTTGTTTTCTAAATGGGAAATTGATTAAACCAGAGGTCCCCAACCCCGAGCCATGGACCAGTTACCAGTTTGTGGCCTATTAGGAATCGGGCCACACAGCAGCAGGTGAGCAGCGGGCAAATCAGCAAAGTTTCTTTTGTATTTGCAGCCACTCCCCAGTGCTAGCATTGCCACCTCAGCTCCACCTCAGATCATCATCAGGCATTAGATTCTCATAGGAGCAATGCACTCTGGTGCCAGAAAGGTTGGGGACTGCTGGTTAAACATCTGTACTCCTGGGTTTAATTTTATACACCAGTTCATACAGAGAGGCTTCCCAGATATTTTCTTGACTTTCCCTGAGTTGGCCTATTCATTCTCTGCCTGCTTATTTTCATATCGGTGTATTTAATATGAAGTCTCAGGATTTTGTTAATTCCTTTTCCTTCTCTTGGAAGTTGGGGTAGTTTGTATACATTGCCATGCTGCCTAGAACACTAGAATTTTCTCTTTTTTTCCTTTGATACCATGATGTAAAACTTGTGGCATATAGTTGTACTCCTTTATTTGCTAATGGTATGTTTAAAATTTTTTTTTTACAAAATAGTTTTTTGTTCTTTTCACTAGTTATTGGTAGGAACTTCTGAGGTACTGTTTCACTATACCAACTTTACTCACAAATTGAATAATGACTTTTCTGCAGTTTTCACATCTCCCTCTGATATTTGACATAACTAATACTTCCTTTTTATATTGGCATCTGTAACTCTGCCAAACCTTTCTTATTCTTTTGCTTACTTACTCTCTATCCTTTATTTGGTGTTTCTTCCTCCCATTCTACAGTTTGACAGACTCTCATGGGTTTTGCCCTTGACTTTGTTTTTCTGTTGACATTCAGTCTTTTGGTTTCATCTATAACATTTAAACAACTGATTCTCTCAAATTTGGATCTTTAACCTTAATAATTTATTAAAAAGCGAATGTATTTTAAAGTAGCTCCATAGTCTCATTCTTCCATATCTGTTGATATTGTCATCATTTCTATTAAAGCCTTAAAATTGCCATTGGACCATCTCTCTTTTGTTCCATAGATCCATTCACCAGGTCAAAACTCTTTCATCTTAATTCTCATTGACATTGCCAATTATAGATCCTCATTTCTCAGGCTATATTGCTATAATAATTTATTCATTTGCCTTCTTATGTTTCATTTTTTTTCTTCAAGATATTATATACATAGCTTCCAGATAAAATCTGTCTCTCTTTTTATTGAACTATAACATACATATAGAAAAGTACACAAATCACGGGTGCTCACGCTAGCTTGATGAAATTTTAGAAACTGAACATACTTGTGTCACTAACACCAGCAAATTAATCATTTAAAAAGTCACATTCATGACCTTGTTATTTTGCCTTCAAAACCAAGTAACTCAAAGAGATTCAGCCTTAATTTCCTTACCAGTGGAATAGCAGGAGCCAAACTGGTATGCCATTTCCCACTGCTTGTCACATATAACTTGATTTTGTAGACATTTCTTTCTTTACTTTACCTCATATTCCCTTTTTTTTTTTTTTTTTTGCCTCATACTACTTTTACTTCTTGAAATTCATTTCCTTTTTGACTGTTTATAATTTAAATCATGGTCATTATTTCCAGTCCTCGCTCAGATCTTGCTATTTCCAGGAAACTTTTCTGAGACAGTAAACTTTAATTAAATTTTTATTTTTCTCTTCAAAAATTCTTTAACTTATTTTTTGAATGAGTAATATCAATACATTCATTTAGAACAAAATTCAGATGTACAAAAGGGTATTTAGTGAAAAGTCTCCCTCCCACTTCAGTGCCCCAGCTATGTGTTCTTCTAGAAATACTTTTATGCACTTACAAACAAAATAAATTTCTATTTTTCTTCCTCCTTTTTACATAATACCAAATTCTGTTTCTTTTTAAAATTAATAGTTCTTAATGATAGCTTCAGATTAATACACAGAGTGTTTTCTTATTTTTTATTAGGGCTAATGATACTCTATGGAATGAATATACCATGATCAGATCCACCGTATATGATTATGAAGGTTGGACGCTGAACAAATTCACATAGACTATTTGAATGGCACTCCCTAAAGTTATTATTATAATAAAATTCGGTAGTCTTGATTGTAATTTACTTAATCAGTTCCTTTCAATACATAGTTGCTGGTTTTCCTTTTCCTTTTTTTTTTTTTTTGGTTATTTTAAACACTATTGAAAGGAATAGTCTTATAAATGTCATTAGACACTTATGGGGAAATTATCTGTAGGATAATTTCATGTGTGTATTTGACATTTGTATATCTTTTTGGAGAAATCTTTATTCAGATCCTTTGCCCATTTTTAATTGGTTTGTCTTTTTATTATTGAATTGTAAGAATTCCTTATACATTTCAGATAGAAGTCCCTTGTCATGTATGATTTGCAAATATTTTTTCCCCATTTAGTGGGTTATCTTTTTACTTTCTTGATGGTAGCTTTTGAAACAGAGAAATTTTTAATTTTGATAAAATCCAATTTATGTTTTTTTTGTTTTGTTGTTTGTGCTTTTGGTGTTGTGGGTAAGAAACTATAACCTAAGCCAAGACCATGAAGATTTACTGTTTTCTTCTGAGAGCTTTATAGATTTAGCTCTAATATTGTGAATCTTTCTATTTATTTGGGTCCTCTTTAATTTCTTCAATAAAGAAAAAGTTTTATAGTTTTAAGAATATAAATTTTGCATTTATTTCTAAAAATTTTTTTCTAAATATTTTTTTTTGATGTGTTGTAATAGAATTGTTTTTAAATTTCAGTTTTGGATTGGTCATTTCTAGTATATAGAAATAAAAGTGATCTTTGTATATTGATCTTCTACCCCATAATCTTACTGATTTATTTATTCTATTAAGTTCTGATACTTTTTTATTGTTTTCCTTAGGATTTTTATATGCAGTGTCATACTACCTGCAAATATTGTTTTACTTCTTCCTTTTCAATTTTATTGGAAATTATTTCATTTATTTCATTGTACTGGCTAGAACCTCCAAAACAGTGTTGAATAGAAGTGGTAAAAGTGGAATGCTCATCTTATTCCTAATCTTTGAGATAAAAGCAGTTAGTTGTAGAAGTTTTTTTTTTTTACCCTAAAAAATGACCCATAACTTTGTTTTGAAGACTAATTTCCTTTTGATTTAAGATTTTTTTCTTCTGTTTACACACAGATATGTGCTGACTAGAAGGCTCACTTGTGCAGTGTAGAGGATAAGACAGTGCCTTACAAAAATGGGGTTTGGGAGTGACCTGAAGAATTCACATGAAGCTGTGTTGAAATTGCAAGACTGGGAATTACGATTACTGGAAACAGTGAAGAAATTTATGGCTCTGAGGATAAAAAGTGATAAAGAATATGCATCTACCTTACAAAACCTTTGTAATCAAGTTGATAAGGAAAGTACTATCCAAGTGAATTATGTCAGCAATGTATCCAAGGTAAGAGGAATAATTTCATTATCTACTATGTATACCACGATAACTGTGCTTAAGGCAAATAGATCATACTACATATGTTATAAACCGATGTTATGTACCTTTCTGTAGTTTTCTTCATGTTTCTTGTGCTAGGGGTTCGTTGTCCCCTTACATCTGTGAGTTTACAGTTTTTATTAACTTTGGAAAAATAGCCATTATTTTCAAAAAAAAATTTTAATCCTCCCTTTTATTCTTCTCCCCTTTGGGGAGTCTGACTACATATATATTTGGCTGTTTGACGTTATCCCACAGTTTACCGATACTTTTTATTTATTTTTCTGTCTTCTCTCTGTGTTTCATTGCAGTTAGTTTTTATTTGTTATGTCTTCTATTTCACTAATCCTATTTTTATGCAATGTCAAATATGTTGTTGATTACATACAGTGCATTTTTCAGCTCAGAGATTTTTCATTTCTGGTGCACTTGGATAAACCTATCAGTGAGATTAACTGTAACCATTTCCCTGACCACTCCTCTTCCAGCAATATCACATCTTTCCTCCTCCCTTCTCCCCTGGCATCATCACTTCATGACTCACCAATATTTAAATTTAAATATGCCTATGTGTGCCTTTTCTTTATCTTCTCATACTTGCCAAAACCCAGCTCTTTCTTTTACCCAACATCTGTACTTTAGGGTGGAGGAACTGGAGAGAAGGAGACAGGAACTGGGTAGTTGAGCCATTTCCATGTTAAAAATGAGAAGTCTTCAATAAATGAATCATCTGTAATAGTTCGATTTGAATTGTTTTTATATCTTCCATGCCTCTACTTTTAAATATGTTTATTCTTTAGTCTTTTGAACATATGGAATACAGTCATAGTAATTCTTTTATTGTCCCTGTCTATCAACCTGTTGCTTCTGGGTCAGTTTTGATTGACAGTTTTGATTTTCCTCTTCATTTTGTGTTGTATTTTTTCTGTATGGTAATCTTTGATTTGATGCCAGGTATTGTGAATTTTACCTTTTTTAGATACTGAATATTTTTGTATTTCTTTAAATATTCTTGAGCTTTGTTTTGGGACATTTTGGAGACATTTTGATCTTTTTGGCTCTTGCCTTTAAATTTGTTAGGTGGCACCAGAAGTATGTGTAATCAGAAGAGGAGAATTTTTCTCCTCTTTTGAGGCAAGATAATTCTCGATGTTCAAAGGATGCTCTCCAATGTTTGAGATTTTACACTCTGGCTATGAGACCTGGCATGATTTTGTGGCTCTATGTGAGCTCGAAACAGTGTTTTCTATAATCCTTATGGGTAGGATATTTCCTTGGAATAGGATAGCTTCCTCAGACCCTTGAGCTGATCAGTACTTAGCTAAATAATCAAGGGGAGGTCATTTGCAGTTTGACTGACTTTTTTCTTCATGTAGCTCAGCCCTCTCTAGTACTCTGTCTTTGTCTTGTCTCCAGTGCTCTGACTACTTTCATGTCTATGTGCTCAGAACTTAGTCTCTTTAACTCACAGAAATTAATGAGTTCTGCTTGGCTCTTTCTCCCTGGGCTGTGGCCTGAACATTTTCTCCATTCAGTAAGCTTGGATGATCTTAGGGCTGAGTTAATTTATTTGTAGTCTCTCAGGGTTCACTGTCCTTCATTGAATGATATCCAGTGGCTTGAATGCTCTGTGTCAAATATATTTTGTTCAGTTTTTAGTTGTTTTAGACAAGGATAAAGCAGTTCCTGTTTCTCTATCTTAATTGGAAGCAGAAGTCTTGCAGCTAGTGATTTTTATGTCTTTATTTTAAAAAATAAAAACATACAGCAGAGTTTCAAGAATAGAACAAAGATTTCTTTGTGTCCTTCATTCTATTTATTAATTGCTGACATCTTGCCATATTTGTTCTATGGCTCCCTTTCTCTCTCAGTATGTGTGTGTGTATGTATGTGTGTGTGTATGTGTGTGTATATGTGTGTGTGTGTGTGTGTGTATATGTACGCATATATATATACATATAAGTATTATGCCCCTTTATTCTTAAATATTTAAGCATGTATTTTCTATGTGCATATCTATAATATAATGACCAAATTTGAGAAATTTAGCATTGTTACCATGCTATTATCAAAAAGTATATTCCATATGAAACTTTTGTCCCCTTTTGACATTTTTTTTCATTCTGATTCAAGATCTAGTCCAGAATCACTCATTTCATTTAGTTTTATCTCTTCCATTCCTTTAATCTGGGATATGAGTGTGAGAAATCACATTCTGTGCTTTGGTACTTTTTCTTTTTTACTTAAAGTTATTTTGAAATGTTTTGTTCTATCTTTAATCCTGAGGACATGATTTTTGTGTGGTTTTATTTTTTCCATTTTGTTTTTTGTATTGCTTTTGGAGGAAAGAGGTGGCAGCCTATCAAGCTGTATTTGCTTTCAGTTACCTAGACTATGTCCCCATCAGCCTTTGAATACTTATTTACTTCTTGGCATACTAAGATATTCCAGGCACATCTTGCTTGAATGTTCTGTTTTCCAGTCCTGAAAAAAACTTTCTCCCTAGGAATTCTGCTTCCTTTTAGTAAAGAGAATATTTAGATATTTAACCAAGTTACTATGTATCGAATTTTATGTCTCATAGTACTTTGCAATCATATATAATACTGTAATGAATAACTTTGTTACAGATATGTTTTTGTATCATTATGAATATCTTCAGGATATTTTCCTGAAAATGGAATTTCTAGGTCAAAGTGTAAATGTATATATAGTTTTGTTACATATTGCCGGCATAAATTTTTAAATAGATCTTGTACCGTTTTGTATGTCCCCCAGAAGTATATGAGAGTGCTAGTTTCTGCTTAATCTGGGCCACAACGTGTTTTATCAGACTTTTTGAATTTTTGTCAATCTGGTAGATAAGAAATGGTCTCTAGTGCAGCTTTAGTTTTATTTCTCTACTTGCGAGTGAAATTAAACATCTTTTCATATGTTTAATAGCTATTTTATTTTGAGGACTTGTTTTATTCTATGCTAAAGGTGAATGTTATTTGTGTTTTCTTATTCATCTAAAATTTAACCGATCAGAAATAAAGGGAATCCAAATTGGAGAAGAAGTGTAAAATTGTCTGTTTGCAGATGATCTGATCTTATATAGAAAAAACCCTAAGACTCCACCAAAAAACTGTTAGGACTAATAAACAAATTCAGTAAAGTTGCAGGATACAAAGTTAACATATAAAAATAAGTTATGTTTCTATACACTAACAACAAATTATATGAAAAAGAAATAAAGACAGTAATCCCATTCGTAATAGCATGAGAAAAAATAAAATACTTAGGAATAAATTTAACAAAGGAGGAAAAGATCTGTACACTGAAAATTACAAGACATTGATGAAGGAAATCGAAGAAGACAGAAATAAATGGGAAGATATTACATGTTCATGGATTGGAAGAATTAATATCTAAAAAGTGTCCATACTACCCAAAGCCATCTACAGATTCAGTGCAATCCCTATCAAGATTACAGTGGCACTTTTTTTTTTTTTTTTTTACAGAAATAGGAAAAATACTACTTAAATTTATATGGAAATATAATGACTCTAAATAGCCAAGCAATCCTGAGAACAAAATGGGAGGTATCACACTTCTTGATTTTAAGCTATATTATAGATAGTAATAAAACAGTATAGTACTGGCATAAAAACAGACACAGAGACCAGTGGAACAGAATTGAGGGCACAGAAATAAACTCATGCATGTGTGGTCAACTAAAATTTGACAAGAGCCAAGAATAGTCTCTTCAATAAATGGTGTTAGGAAAGCTGGATATTCATGTGCTGAAGAATTGAGCACATGAGACGTCAGAAGCGTGGCAAAGTAAGAGATGTCCCTGGATCTCTCAACCTGAAATAACAATAAGCTGAACATCTAAAAATCAACAAATAACACCCAGCCTGCACACACATACATTTGAGTGAGTGATCTGCACATAAGAGCTTCTGGAGGTCAGAACCATGGAAGTCAGGTGGTAGATTAGAAAGAACAAAGAAGCTGCCTCTCCCAGCTGGAGCTCTCTGCAGGAGAGGAGAGAGGGGAGAAGTTGCTGCAGGTCCCTGAACAGCCCTGCCTCAGGAATCCATGAGCTCCATGCAGCAGAGCCCAGGGATCAAGGCAGAAAGTGGTGTGCGGACTAACTGCAGAGGGGCAACAGCAGGGTCTTAGCAGCTGTGGTTATGAAGCATGAGACTGAGACACCAAGATAGCAGCAACCCTCACCGACCAACCCCAAAGGCATCTCCCTCATATCCTGTAAGACTGAATACCGCAGAGCCCCAGGGGAACTTGAGAAAATGCTACTGAAACTGTAGCTAATACTGACAGGGACTGAGACTGAGGGAAACGATCATGATTAAATATTTATAAGGAAAAAAAGGCATTATTAAGTCTCAAAAAAGGGATCCAAGAGGCTTTGATGCCACCTACTGGAAATAAAAAAAATAATAATAATAATAAAAAAACCTTAGCAACAGGCTAAAGACAGACCACTATATAATAAATCTTTCTGGGAGAAAAGAAAATAATATGCTTCTGTAACGCCCAGGCAGAGAAATAGTCCATCAAACACCACGAACAACCAAAGTGACAAGGCAGTTAAGAAAGAGGGAAAAATCTCCAGAAAATAAATTTAAAGCCTAAATGACAGAATTCAGGCTTATACTTCTGAAAAAAACTCAGTGAGATCCAAAATAATTCAGTTCAACAATTCCAGGAGTTGAGGGAAAAAATGACCAGCATAATAAGTTTTTTAGCAGGAGATTGAAACCCTAAAAAAGAACAAAATAGAACTTCTGGAGAGGAAGAACACACTAAAAGAGATGAAAAATGAAATAACAAGCTTAGGAAATGTAGTTGACTAAGTGGAGAAAGGATCAGTGATGTCGAAGACAGAAGTCTAGAAATAATTCAGAAGGAAGAAGAGAACAAAGAATGAAAAACAATGAAAGAGAAATATAAGAACT